AGAAATATGATAATATAATAATAAATGATTTAGAAAATAGGAATAATTATGAAATAAATAAAAATTATAATAAAATATAGCTTTTTATAACTAGGAAAAGATTAGGGAATTAAGAAATTTTATGTCACTATGGTAACAATACATTTAAAAAATATTTAATCTAAATAATATTATATAATTAATTTTGTTTGAAATATAAATTTTTTATTCTTATTTTATTTATTTAATATAATAAAAAAATATAATTAATATTTAGTTATAATTAGAAAGAATATAATACTTGAATTCTTTATTAATTATAATTAGTAAAATATATATTTTTATTATTTATAAATTTTTTAATTTTATTAATAAATATTTTTTTATTATTAATTTAAATTCTAAAAATTATATATTAAATTTGAGAAATTTAGCTATTTTTTAGATTATTATCATATAATTTATTTTAATTATAAAAAATAATTAATTTTTATAATTTAATATAAAAAGATTTGTATTTTAGAAAAATATTAATGAATTATTTTTTCAAAATAAATTTAATTCTTTCTTTTTTAATTAATTATTGAATATTAAGATTTATTTAAATATAAAAATTTTATTATATCTTTTAATAAATTTTTACTAATAATAACTTTTTTAAAATATTATTTCTTAAATTTATTAATTAAAATGATATAAAAATTATATAATAAATAATTTAATTATTAAACTTAAATCTTAATTTTTTTATAATTACTAATTTATTTTTTATAAAATTTAAAATATATATTTATCAAATTTAAGACAATTTACTTATTAAATTAAAGTTTCAATATTATAAATTTGATAATAATAATATTTAAAATATTTTTTATTTAAAAGAAATTATTTCATTTTAGTTTTTCTAAAAAAGTATATTTTATTTGTTATTAAATTAAAATATAATAAAATAATTAAAATAATATAAATAATCTAGATCATTTTTTATTTAATATAAAAATAATTGAAATTTGAATAATTTTTATTAATTTTAATTTGAAATATAAATCTTTTTGTACTGGATTATACTTTAACAATTAACAAAAATTAATTATAATTAGAATAAATTATCTGGCAAAAATCTGAAAAATCTGAAAAAAAATATATATTAAACTTAGTTATTTTTTAAGTTAATAATAAAAAACATTTTGTTAGTTAAAATTAAAAACTTTTATATATAATAAAAAATATGTATTTTACTAATTATAATCAATAAAAATTCAAGTATTGCATTCTTTATATAGTTGAAGACATCATAAAATATCCAATTATTTTTTGAGTGGCAAAATTTGATTTTATTTTCAAAAATTAAATTTAGTTAAAAAGTTGATTTATGCACTTTGCAATTTATTATATCATATAATATATAACTATATGATTGGCCAAAAAAAATTTATTCTAAAAAAATATATATGCAATTCATAATCTCTTCATTAATATTCCTATGTAATTTAACCACATATTCTGCAAGTTTTTCTTTTAATCTATATCGATATGCATCCATTTACCTTAATGATAATCTTATATAAGTACGAATTATTTCTAATTAATTGAATCAAAGCCTCAAAAGTATTATTTTTAATTTTGGTAATGAATTTATTCATTTTTAACTGCACTCCAATATATTTCAATATAATTAAATTTGGGATAAAATTTAGGATAAAAAATAACCTAATAAATAATTCCTCAAAATTTGATTATTTGTGAATTTTTCCACGTTAAGCTAAGAAATCTGGTTGATTTGCTATCAATTATCGAGCATAACAATCAATAATATCAGGATTTGATTGCATAAATTACAATTCAATATCATTTCATCGCATCATAGATTCATTCTCTAAGAATCCACTGAATTCCTTTTGGTTTTTCACGAAGATTAATATTTTGGTTTTTTTTATAAATAAAATAATCTTGTTCAATAATTATTAATTGTTATTATCTATTTCACACTGTATTGCGCATTTTTGGAACTGTTCCTCCTGGACTCAAATTCATTTTTGATGCAACTAAAGCATCTTCAGCAAAAGCTATATGAGAGATGGCATTATCAAAAGCAAAAATGCCAATACAGTCAGGCTGTGTATATTCAAAAATATCTATTGGTTTTTAACTTGCTTAATGAGTTTGTCACTATTACAATATTCATCATGATTGGCTCCAAGTACTATTGTAATTCTTGCTTCATCCAAACTGCTTTGAGTGGACCAATTGTTTCTGTCAAAAAATTACATATATGTCTTGTTCTTGACCTTTTTTGTGCAAAGATTGCTCTCCTTTTGGACAACACACAGCACGAGAACCATTATAAGTGTAACATAGACTCATCATGAGTTATCCATACATATTCTTTTTGTTCATCAGCAAAGTTTGTACTTTGCAATTTTTGTCAAGCCATTTTGATATCAAGTGATCAAACATAGCAACTTCATATAGAAATTTTTCACGATAAGTGACAACGTCAGGACATTCATGATCATTAACATAAATTTCTTTTTTATAATGCTGAAAATGAAAATCTGCAGTATATATCTAGTGACGAATAGTTCGAAATAATCTTGCACGTCAGACACTACAATTAAATATGTTAGAAACTGTTTGACTTGCTTTTATTTCTTTTTGTCATTTAATATAAGCTGGAGATATATAAAACAGCAGTGTATCGAATCTTCTGGACCTCAGGAAGTGACTTATTGGATATTACTATTTTAATAAAGTAAATAATATTATGAATTATTCTTTCTTCTGAATCCTGAAGATCGCTACTTTCATCATCATCACTATAATAGCAATGGAAGATTGTCATATCAGCAGAAAAGAATTGCAAAAGTGATGCAGTTCCTACTACTGCTTTTTGTTAATTGTTTCTTTTCATTATTTTATGCATTCTGAATCTTCCCAGTAGTGATGAGAACATTCTTAATTTTCAAAGCTTTTTTGTGATGCAGAAAGTAGAAGTTTAAAAATTGAGCTTGTGCATTCATCATCATTCAATTTTGTGTTATCAACTTCAAGTATTTCATTATCAGAGCCCGTGGAACACGCTGAATCTGGATTATCACTTTCATACTCATTGCTCGAGTAAAGATCAAAAAGCTAGTGACTGGAAGATTATCACTTTCATATTCTTCATTCAAGTCAAAGTGAACAAGGTTAGTGGCCAAGAGAGAATTTGGAAAGGGTTGGCCTTTCTCACCTGAGTTGAAATCAATAAGGTTGGTGGCTGAACATCAGAAAATGGTTGGACTATCTCATTTAAATCAAAATCACTGAGATTAATAGGAAGAAGAGAGTCTGGTTGCTGTTGGAAAGCTTGGCAAATATTACATGCATGTACACTATTTATACGAAGTTGTTGCTTTCTTTTTGATGGTCTTGGCATTATTACAAGGAAAATTGAGATATTTTTTAAGTTGACAAGTTACATGTCACTAGTTTTTTACTCTTTCTCTCCTCAAGAAACCAGGTGATGTGAGAACGTCCAAGCGACTTTACATCCATCGATATTCGGCGCTTTCTGATTGGATAAGTCACGCGTTTTATGATCCAGCCAATCATTGTTTGAAAATGTAACCACATTTGATTGGTCGTTCATAAAGCACATGACTTTTTCCGTGGACAGATACATAGGAATTAGGCAATACTTTAAAGCATTATAACGTGGAAAAAAAAGGAAATTCGAAAAAAATCTGAGCTATGTCACTTTATATAACGTTACTAAAATTTGGTGATTTATGCTGTCTCCGACTGTATTTTTTATAATTATTACTCTTAAAAAAATAAACTAGAAAGTTATAATTATAATTATAATTATAATTAAGAAAATAATTCAAATTGTAATTATAAAATATGAAGAGTTAATTATAAATGTATTATTATAATAAATATTTAATGAATAATATTATAAAAGGTTAAAAGTACATATTAATATTTAAAAATACTATTTATTAAAGTATTTTTAGAATTATATAAAATAAAAATAATAAAATATTTATAACTTTACAAGTTTTTTATTTATTATAAAATTCTTTATAATTTTTATAAATAAAGTTTTAAATTTTAAAAATTATTAAATTATAATAATCAAAATAGAAAATTTAATTATTAAATAAATTATTAAGAGTAATATAGATTTTAATAAATTAAAATATATAAAGAAAATTAAAAATAATTCTATAAATTAAAAGCGTTAGATTATATTTTACTTAATTATATTATAAATATATTATATTTTCTTATTAGCATTCGTTTTATGATTCTTCTTTTCATTGAATTCTAATTCTTTTGTGTTGAAGTGTATGTGCATATGGTAGCGGTTTCTCGTAGTTTGATAATTTCGTATTTAATATCAATTTTCCAGTGCAGACATATATCTTATCGCTATGTTTTTCAACCTCTTTCAAAAGGTCGAACATCGATTTCTTATACATGTGTTTGCAGAATTTGTTTCAAAATTACTGCCGAAACATAAGGGAAATAACCACCAATACTCATATGAAATTCATCTTTGTATATAGCGTTCTTGCTAAATACAGAAAATCATTATAATGTAATCAAATATATATATAGACGAAAGAATGTACAGTCTATTACTATAGATACACCTCATATTTGTCATTGTATTATTTATAATATTATGAAAATAACCGGAAGTTTGTAAAGCAATATATCGTTACCCTTGCTAATGACGAAAAAATGTTTGACCATGTGACTTTTCAGAGGTCAGCATAAACAGAATGTTGGAAAAAATATTGAATTTTTGAATATCTTATGACAAAATAAATATCAATAGATAAAGTCATTCTAATTGCTCGGAATAATAACTATGGTTTGAATATTATGTTCATTAATTGTTGCGATATTAATCATACCTTGTTTTTTATTGCTAATTATGGGTTTTTTGCTATTTGTATAATATAAACTGAATGACACATGCTAACCTAATAAAGATAAGTACGATGTATTTTTTGCTTTAACATTGTATAGAACAATAAATTATATTAAGAATAATCACAATATCTCAAATTACACATTACACTCTTTAATAAAACTACTTATTTCAAGAGATCATAATATAAGAAGTTTCAATGTGATCCCAATTGCTTTCATTACATTGTGAATGGTAATTAATGCATTATTTCAACTTTAATAAAAGTTATAATTCTATTTCCGTATGCATGTATATCTGCATGTAGTTTGCTGTCCCTAATTGTATGCATAATATCATCTGAGCATTAAAATTGGATTGGGTAGAACATTTGATACTACATGTACATGATCATTATGTGTTTTCGAATTAAAATAGCATTTATACAATGTAATAAAATGCATACTTGTACATGTACAATATTACATTGTAAAATGTGAATTTTCTAGTATCACAACACGAACATGAATTTGTGACTTAAAGAACTACTCTTAAATGCATTGTCGTGTCGGTAATGATATTATATTAGATGCAACGTTAACATAAAAAGGTGAGTTTTTTTCTAAATTATCTCAAACTTTACTAGATATCAATCTAGTTAATAAAAGATTAGGAATATAAATTCAATAGACTTTATGCACACATTGCAAATTCTCTAAATTTATAATGCTTTTTTTGTGTTCGTACACAAACTAAGATTATATTGTCCCCTGCGTGTACCCTCTGATGCTTTCTCTCATAATACATGTAAAATGTTAAATGTAAATACTTTCACATGTAACCATTTCGTTAGATACTATGATATCGATTCTTTTCTTAATTTACAGTCTATTGTGATATGAAATAATTATCCTATTATATTAGGTATAAAGCTTCTCTAATATATAATTTCCCATATAATATAAAAAAAAGGACGAATATGAATTCCGTCTTTTTAAGAGATTTTTTTCCTAAAAATGACTATATCTACGCAAATAGATCGCGAATATGAGTCAGATATACTGAAAAACGCAAAAAGAATAAAACCTTCCACCCAATACAATGAAAAAGCAAGTCCGCTTGCAACATCAGATCTTACTGAAAATTCTAAAATTTCATTGGATTTCACAAACCATTTAGCTGACGAAAAAAAACCGGAGACCCCGACTTGGGCTTTAACGTCACAAAAATCACGAGCCAATTCGAAAGACTCTTCATTACCTACGACACTCAATGGATTTGTATGACCATTTTATCAAACTGCTCAATTCGAGCGAAGCATTTGTAAAAGTAAATCAAAGGTTAAAGATTCATATAGAGTTT